AGCTCACTAAAGTCTAACTTTACTGTATGAAATCTGCCATGAAAAGGAAAGGTTTCCCACATAAATCCTTTGCAAAGGCTCAGAGAACCGCATGGCGGACATTCTGAGCTTTTGATTGGTTATTCACACATCATAGACAGAATTAGGTGTACATAAGCAAGTCTTTCAACAAATGGACAGAGGTGGGCAGGGCCACTGTGTTTGATTCATTACATGTAGCGATATCTCAGCAAATAGAAAAAATAGGAAGTTCTTAGTTTATTCTAGCTTGTCAATATCGGTAATTTGAGTTCCTAATTCGTAAGAAACTATGGACTTTGTATTTGAACGTCATAAACACCTAATTTCAATCAATGCTGCATTCAACATACCACGTGACACGCACACAAATCAACATTTAGATGTATTCTTTAATATTTACTTTTAGATTAAGAAATTAACTAATGTATAATAATAAAATTTGAATTATGATCTATAATTTGATACCAAACTTATAAAGTAGTAGTTGAATAAAATGTTGAATGCAAGTCAACAAAAGCAATGACATGGCCTTTGACCCATGACCTGTGTTGATAGGGTTAAATAATGCAACATACATAGAATAATAATATGCAAAAAAGCAGACAATTTCCTTTAACTATCAAAATTTCTCTGCCTTTCTAACTGTGCAACAAGATCCGTTACAAATTCATCCAACCTAGTTGTTAACTTTCCCATGGGAATAAACTGTGTATTATGAGTGAAATTGATGCTTACCTGTTCAGAACACATTATACAATATGTCATTTGATAGATGAAAACCTTCGCTTTCTCTTGGTTATAGGTAATATATAATTAAACGTAAGACAAAAACTATTAACAAATCCTGAAAGAGATGATATGACAGGCGGGTGGGGCAAGAGGGGTCTGATTTTCTATTTGATAGCTCTGTAACCAAACAAAATTAAAAGCTATAAAAAATTATGGTTTCTCTGAGCAATGACGATTTTATAGTGAGTAAGTTACATTTAATTTCGTACTTTTGTGAGTTGGTGGATAAAATAGCAAAAAAAAGATGCCTAGAGAAAATGGGTCACGTGTGTCACACTAGGGTAAATTCAGGATTTTATTAAATATTGTCATATAAAATTAAGAACGTAAAACTTGTATACTATTAATATATGGATTATTAGCTACAATTTTATGCTATACTAATTGGTATAACATAAACAAAAAGTAGTTTAATAAACATTTGAATGTAAGACACTAAAGCCTTGTGTCATGTGAAGTAAATAATGTCCAGGCAGATAGAGTATTAAGCTATGCTGAACTCTAAATTAACAATAACGCTGTAGTTTAAACTTAGCAATACAATATAAGAAGGTTACGTTATTTGTTCTTCATACATCATAAACCAAAATGTATTTAGAGAAATTTAATTCCACATTTTTATGTTACCTATTGTAATTAAACAAAATTTCACTTTTGTTACTCTAATGATAAGTCATTACACATTTGAAGATTTCAGTTTTTGGTAATTCAATCATGTAGTCCAAATTTAAATTTTTTGCTTCATCTAATCATATGAATCAAATTCAAATTTTAGAACACCATACAGAACATATGTTCTATACCCATGAACTATAGTTTTTATTCAACCATAAATAACAGAATGTATTCTAAATACATTGCCTATGCAAATCAACATTATACATTTTATTCTAGTCATACAAGAGAGAATTACATCTTGTTATTTCTGTGTACACTAATGTCAGTTGCATACTTTCTAACCTTACCGTACAAATCAGGATTAGGCTTAATGTGGTGATGCAAGTAAGTGGCTTGACCTGGAAGGGGTATCATTGACCAGAGAATTCTCCTTAGCACTTGAACTGTGTCAACATTAAACAGTTTCTGATAGTAACCAAATTCCCAAAAAGGAAGGCTGTTGCTTCTCCTCACCAGACAATAGCTGTGAAAGTTTAAAATGAGAATATTGAAATTAAAGTCTGTCTAGACTGAACACTACTTATTAATGTAAATGTTCTTCTTTACACCTATATGAATGTACATATAGATAGAAACTATACAGCAAAATTGTTTTGTACATTCACTAATTGGGTCAATTGTGTTTTTTTGAAACTTCATCTTTAAGAATCACTGATAAAAGTATGTATATATATATATATATATTATATATAATAAAAAACATAGAATAGGCAATACAGTCTCTTGGATTAGTGCAGTTTTTTAAATTCACATCAGATCAGGTCTACATCAGATGTGGTTAATTGTCATATTTCTTAGGCCTACTATACAAAAAGCAG